TATGTCCCTTTTTTCCCCTTTTTCCTTTGCAGTCTGACAAGAAGCTATTTTATTCGGGGCTTTGCCAGTTCATCAAAGAGGCGAAGGACATCAAGGGAGAAGTGACTTTACTGGCCCACTTTAATGACACTTTCCCGATAAAAGTGAATGTCTATTTTTTAAAAGGGAACAATGTAAGCCTTGAGAATTGGAGAAACACAAATTTGTTGTCATTTGGGAGATGCATTCTACGTGAGGGAATTAAGGCAGAGCGCCTATGTGTATTCGCTTGCTTCTTCACAAATGAACAGCATACTTACACTGTTCATTCTCTCCGATTTTTCCATCCTATTACAAAATGGCAGGTTGTGCCCCTCAGCGTCGGTGTGCCTTTCCACCTAGATGGAGTTGATGCAGTGAGCGTTTTGCCACAGGGATCGAGTTCGTTGCAAGTCAAAACGATGAAGAAGGATATGTTTGTGAGTAAAGGAAATTCGGAGGGAGCCAGCGTTTCTTTCTAGGTGATAATAAAACACCTTTTCTTTGGCAAATTTTTTTTTTTTTTTTCATGGTTATGTTTGAGAAAAGCTTTTAATTAATCTTATGAGGTGCTAACACCTTTTTTTTTCCTTTTAAAATACACCCCGTATGTACTTGCACATTGTGTCACAATAGCTGGCATAAAAAGAATAAAAAAAATTAAGACACGTAAGCACGAGTTAGTTTTGCGGGCATTCAATTTTAAGATTCTGTCACTCTATATTTTACTATATTGTGTATTGCGGCTGGGCATATGAATATAACGCACAATGGGGTAAACATAATGGGGAGATAATTGTGGGAAGAGTAAGCAAAGCACAACTTTTTTGGAGGAATGCTCGTGAGGTGAAATTCAACATTGTTGTTCTCTTCCTCCGCGTGCTCCAGTTCTGACTAGTCAGGTTAAGATTATTGGCAAAATGGGAAAGGTGAATATACCGATAATAAAAATGCTTGTCTCTTTTTTTTTTTTTTTCAACTTTGAGTCTGTTCACACTTTATCATAAAAAGAAGGTGCGCAGTTATTCAGTGAGCGGTATTCCTAATTGGTTAGTGGAAGTCGTGCGCACTTTGAGCATTACAACCCCCAAGTAAAGGACCAAAAAGAGCCGCTTTTAAACTGTTCGACATGTGTAAAATGGAGGCGGAAAAAGGGGTAATAAAATTTAGGGATATTCTAATTAGGGTATTTTTTTTCAGTATATATGCACTCAAAACGTTGAGCTCATTTGGGTGCCGCCAACGCGATGGCTGAGATTAAAAAGTCTGGTGAATATTTCCCCGTGTTGTTAGATCATTATAGGTAAAAGTTACTACTATAGTTAAAAAGTCATATTAAAAAATGGTAAAATTTGTGAATTAAAAAATAAAAAAGTGGAAAGTGACAAGGAGTAAATTTATTATGCTACATAACCCACATGAGGATCTCATACGTTGTGTTAATATTAGAAAGTTGTGAACACTGAAAAGGTGAAGATTTAGGCACGCACTTCGTTAATTTGTGGGAATGTATTTATGTGAATGTGCACAAATGGGTATTCGTTTACGCCAGGTAAAAAAGCAGCATAAAAAATGGCAAACAAAGTAAACGGTGGTTAAGGAAATAACTACATGTAGGATAAAGGTAAACCGGCAGGCATCAAAAGGAAAAAGAAAAAAAAGAAGTCATGTGGATAATAAAGGATGAATTAGAACTATTCACACATATGCATGCAGGGTGTGTTAAATAATTTATTCTATGCTTCATTTTCATAAGTAGCACTTACCAAAATCTGGGGGTACTTTAAAATTAACCTAGGGAAAAATCTTTCCTGACGCTCATAATGTGCATTTTTTTAATTATAGATGACGCGAAAAATATGCGTGGGAAAAAAAAAAAGGATAAGAGGAATTATTAACATAGAAACGTCATGACAGAGGATGAGAACAAAATATGTGCACGCGTATATACACTAAATCAAACTAAAGGGATAATTCGCGAATGAGACATTCGAAAAATTGATTTCATAAGTTGCAAAATGTGCGTAATTGTAATGTTCCATTGCAAAAGTTTTTCAATTTTTTTTTTTATCTATCTTTTAAGATAGGTTAAATTTTTAAAACAAAGCATTTCCTGATAAGAGGTTGCTTTGCTTTTCTCTTAAATAATATTTCTTGTTCGATTGTGTAGGCTGTTCTTTAGCTGCATTCGCACCAGTGCTACACCGGTATGTATTTAACTTAGCACAGTCATTTTTTTCGTTAACCTTAAAGGGCATGTTCGGTTCCGTAATCTTGTCCTTCTTATTTTCATTTTGCACCATGTTTCTGTTATTAATTTTTTTGTTGCTCCGTTCTAGGAAATAAGAAACGAATTCCCCCTTTCCTCTGTAAATAATGCACGTCAGTTTGCTGAACCCTTTTTTTCTAGCTAATTTGTGGATGCATATTTTGGGGATTTTAACTACACCTTTTGCAGTGTTATACTTGACTAGCCCGCTCCAGTCATTTTTGAAATTTCGCGGGGAGCACGCAGAGTTACTGCTGCTAAGCGTTTCTCCACTTTTTAAAAAATTTTTCATTTCGGCGTCTTCGCGTGGGTCGCTTCCAGTTGCGGTTCCCCTTTCTTCCTTTGCTTCCCTTTCCTTTGGAAAAGTGACCGCATCGCGACATTCGCTTTTATTGACCACTTCCTTATTGGCTAATCCGTCTTGATTACGCCTTATCCTTGGCATGCGATTCCTGTTCGTCCGTACTGTTTTGCCACTTTTCATTATTATGCGTTTGTTGTAAGGGGAAAAATCGTCAAGTGGGTTGTCATTTGGATCGTCACCCTCCTCGCGAATGAGGTCATCATTTGGATCACTACCTGGACCATAATTTGGATCAGCCTTCCTATTTTTGAGTATGTTCCGTGAGCTATTTTGTGATAAGAAATCTGCGTAATCACATTCATTAATAATTTTATTGTATAAATCGTATAAAGCGTACACCCTTTTTACATTTGGTGTAATGGTTTTTTCTTTCCTTAGAGTTAAGTATCCCTTGACTACTTTCTGTTCAGAACTTAATTTGTTGAAGCAATTGAATGTGTTTATTTTTCCTTTTTGTACATCTTCTATGGCAATCCTTTTATGGCTACTTAAGTTGATATGTTTCGTAATCGCGACGTTACTGCTATCTTGGGTTTCGTCTTTCCCCAACAGTAGGCTCAAATGTTCGTTTTTATTTATCTGAGAAAAATCTTTACCCTTTTCATCTTCGCTGTTGCTCCTTATGGTGCTGTTAAGATGCTCCCTTTTGTTACTTAACGCGATGCTTATTTCATATTCCGTTGCGTCACTATACCTGTTTGTGCAACTTATCGAAGCTGCCTTCTTCAAAGAATTCATCCTTTTGTTATGATCAAAATGTTTCCCTTCTTCCCTTGTGGTGTTGTTTATGTATTCATTTAATGGAGTGTCACTTCCGTTTGAGTTCTTTTTAACGGGTTCTGCAAAAATGCCTTTTTCATATTCCTCATCCTTTGTGTTGTATTCCTTATTCTGCGTGTCTAGTGCGCTATGAAGTTCCTCATTGGATGAATATGATTTCATGGAACTTTCGGAAATAATGATGGGGTCATTAGGGTTACCCATATCATCTTCACAATTCTGAATTCGGAACATCGATACGTCTTCATTATTGTCTTGACTTTCGTAAAAGCTGTGTATGTTTTGGTAATCCGAGGAATTCCTTAGCTTCCTCTTTTGGTAGTTGTTCGCAGGTGCATGTTCGTCACTGATTTGAGCGTTCATTCGGGTGTTCATTTGGGAGCTTAACTGCGCGTTCAATTGAGAGATCAGCTCGTTTTCTTTGCTCCTTCCAATGATTGTTCTGCCCCGAGAACATTTCTGCGCCCCACGCTGGCTCGGCTGATAGGTCTGCTGTTCTGCGTCCTCCTGTTTTGTCTCTTCCTGCGCGAAGTGGGTCTTCCATTCGAGATGCTCTGCCTGCAGCGCTACGGCCATTTCAGATACTTCTTCCAATGCGTCTTCTCCTTTTTTGCGTTTCCTCCTCCTCGTTTGTTTGACAACAGTGTTGTTCTCATGAGATGGGTGATCGGCACACTGGATGTTATTATTCAACGCAGTACCGTCCTGGTAATACGGATTTAACAGCGCTGACTCCATTAGCGACGTTGTTATGTCATATGCGGTTTTGCTGTCACTCTCACTGTATAAAATCTTACCCTCACTTTTTAGATCTCTCCTAACTTGCTGTAAAAATGCAACTGATTTTTTCTGAGCCGTCATGGAGCCATATATGTCAGCACGGAACACCTTCACCTGGATCTTCCCCATATAGTTGTAGCAGAGAATATATTTCCTCCCTTTGGTAAGTAAGTTGCTTATATTTTTATTCGTTGATGAAAATTTTTTATTTTTTAAATAGTTCATGTTATGTCGCCCTGTGTGGTTTCCTCTGTTGATTCCTCTGGTGCCTCCTTTGGTAACACCCTTTCTGGCGTTTTTAAGAGTCCTCTTATGCATCCGTTTGTTGGTTCCCCTCGCGGTTTTCTTGCTCGCTCCTCTGTGAACGTCTTTATTTTTTCCTCTTCCGGTGGATATATTTCTCATTTTATTCGCTGCTTTACTAACTTGTTTGTAGCTACTTGCTTGGTTTGGTAGCATTTCCTGTTCGTTCTGGTCTTCATAAAAGCTCTCACTTTTTTTAGTACTCATAATGGAGTTTCTTTTTGATATAGTATCATGGTCTTCTTTTCCCTTAGTTTTGCTCCTCTTTCTATGTTTGCACATTCTTCTTCTCTTTCTGGTGCCTTTTCTCGTCTCGTTAGAAACCCACACATCGTCGTCGTCGTCAGTGTTGTCGAAATGGCTGTAGGAGTTTTTGTATTTCCTACCGCTGCTGTTGCTGTTCATGTAGCGGAAGTTATTACTACGGCAGTTGCAGTTGTTGCCATCATCGTTAGGATTGGCATTACTGCTTCCAAACTTGTTTCCACTCTTGTAATAAACGTGGTAGTCCTGGAAGGATTTTCCTCTTTCGGCGCTTTTATTTATCGTTGTTCTTCTGTTGGTCTTTTTTGCATGGATTAGTCCCCCTGGGTACAGCTCGCTGTGGTGGTTTCCGTTCTTGTACAGCCTGTTATTGTATATCCTCTCGTGGTACACAATGTCGTTGTACGTCTTGCTGTTTAGGTCTGCCAAAAAGGTGTCCTCCTCCAATCCCCCTTTACGACCACTAGAAAGGAAAAACATGTCATACAGTTTGGTGTCATCTGCGGTGTAGTAGCCTTTGATCAGGATGTCTTCGTCCCTGTAATAGTCCATCTTACTTATGAAATAGTTAATATTCCCATTGGTGCAGTTCATAAGAATATCGCTATCGCAGTAGAAGTCCACCAATTGAAAGTAGTTGATGGGAGAGTCACTAGCATACTGGTCATCCCTTGCGCTTTGCACGTTATGGTATGACTGCACGGTCCACGATTTGCACGATTTAATTTGCTGACACATGGTTGCGAAGTTGTGGACGTTTTCATCGCACAGGGCTAATTTGACATTTTCTAAATATTTCAGATATAAAAAATAGAAGGTTTTATTTAAGAAGAAATCATACTGATAAACTTTTGTCATTTTTACTTGTTCCAAGTGTATGTTCTTTAATTTGCATTCGAATATTTCATAAAATTGATCGGTTATGTAAAACAAATTGACGTACTTATTCATTTGTGTGTTGGCACTTGTTCCTTTTTGCATACTCTTATTTTTTAGATTCTCTATATTGTATTTTATGTTACTAAAATAGATGTAGGACAGGGAAGTATTATCATACATATTTTCGTAGCTATTGGAATTTAGTTCCATAAATTCGGTTCTGGAATCTATGATTTTTCCTTTTAAATTTCTTTTTTTTCTTTTATTTGTTAATATTCGAATGCTCTTAAAATTTGAATTGACTTTATTAATATAATTTCGTATTTCCTCTTCTTCTTTTTCTCCTCCTAAATTTTTATAGAAATCAATGGACAGGCATAGGGCAACATCGAATCCGAATCTTTGTGTTGAGAATTTCCTGAAGCTATATCCTTTCACTTTGTTAATCCATGAGACGACTACGTTTCTCTTTTTCATATCATATATAAGATTAATATTTGAGTTTTGTTCTTTGTCCACATATGTCTTTCCTCTTTCCATGTTGAATAGCTTACTTTTAGAGTCCTTTTCATAGGAAAATACTTTATTATTTTCTAGGTGATCTGGATTGATTCCTAGGGACCTTAGAAAGTTTAGGGCAATTTTTTTGGCTGTTGCGTGCCCAAATCGTTGGGCGGAAAAATATTTGCATTTAATTTCGTCACTGCAATCATCCTTGTAGTATATTACCAAATTTCGTATATTCGAATCGTAAAAGATAAATGGGAACTTTTCATTTTTTAGTAAATCCTCTTTCACACATTGAACGGAGTCATAATTTCTGTAATAGTCTATGGAGCTTAAATTACTGCCTTTCATATCAGCTGATGCGATGATTGTTCCGTTGTAATCTGCTGCCCCGATTCTCTGTCTATATGGATTTATATTGCTTTGTTCATAATTTATGTCACCGCTGCAAATTTCGCTATGATGAATTTCTTCGTTCGTCATGTCGAAGGGGTCATCTTCCATATTTTCGTAGTTAAATATATCTCTATTCGGGTTACAGATGTCGTGGTTACTTCTGTTCATGTTTGTACCTTCGCTTGTTTTGTCACTTCCGTTACTGATCGCGGTGATGTTCATGTTGTTTTTCCTAAATGTGAAACCTCTTTTCCTCCGTTTCCCTCTTGCTAACTTTGGGCCTTCAACGGAGTAATTCATAGCTATATCATTTAATGATCTGATTTTTCGCTTTTTCTCTGTCGCCTTTTGTGTTATTTTTTGTCTCCCGTGTTTTCTCAATTTTTTCCTACCCATTACTGAGTCGTATTCATATAGTCCGCTCCCTCTTCGATCATAGATGGAATCAATGCTATGATCTGAATAGTTGTGCTGGATAACATGGCTGGATTTGCTTCTCGTGAGGTAGTTGCTCCCAAGAGTTTTGCGACTATTGGGAAGTTCCGCAGAGTTGGTATGTTTCTTCTTTCCATCGCAGTTTCCTCTTTCGCAGTGGCTTCCTTTGTCGCCTTCGTTACAGCTGGGACCGCCACTTTGTTGGCTATAATTATCCGAAGCGAGACTAGCATTGGTGACTTTCACTTCGCTAGGAATTACTTCAATGACATCATCATCCTCCACTGTACAAATTCCGCTGTTGTTTTCCCGGTTGGGGAAAAATCCATGTGCGTCTTTTGTGTTTAGGAAGTCACCTCCGTTCAATGTGCGCGCGGGGGCACAGTCCACACCGTTCATTTTGTCACTCGTCGCCTGGCCAGGGTTGATTATTGGGTAAGGGACTTTCTGATCAGGTTGGTGGTTATTTACGATATACACGGAGCTGTCGTCCTCGATGTATTCATAATCATTTTGTTCATTATAACATTTTGTTAAAAATGGATTTACATTTTTCGTGATGTTCGTGGTGCTACTTCTGTTAGCACCCATTTCTTCATTTGCATCTTCAGTCTCGTAAGTTACATCTTCCACGCTGTCCTCTAGGACTATGTAATTATCTGCGTATTGGTTGTACTGACGGAAATTGTGGTTTCTATCTAGATATCCTTTCGTTACCATTTCTCTGTTCATCTTCTTTTCTGTGTTATTTCTACTCACTTTGCTCACTTCGTGATGGTGACTCAGGGGTTGATGCGCGTTACTAGGGGTGTTGCTGTATGGAGTATCTTTTTGTGGGCTCTCCACAGCCTTCGTTGGCAGGCTCGTTGGCAGGTTCCTCCTCTGGGACCACTGTCCGTTCGCTTTGATGTCGTTCGATATGGATGTGTGAATGTCATCTAGTTCGTGTAACTCATTTTTTAGATAAAAATAGGAATTCATAGAACTGTCGAAGGGGGTATTGCTCCCTTCGTTGTGTTTTGCATATGGAACTGCATTCGAAGTTTCTGTTCCTTTAAAATTATTGTAGATATCTTTATTTATTAAGCTATTTTTACCATTCGGATTTTCTTCCACACATATTTCTTCCGTTTTGGCGTGGTCGTTAAAGGGATCTGTGTGTGTGCTCATGTTTTCCTTTTTCCTAATTTGCACGAATTCGCTGTCTACTTTGTGTCCCACGTTTTTTAACAGTACCTGTTTGGAATAACTGTTTCCTTTTAGTTTATTCTTATGGAGGAATTGACTGTTGTATTTGAAGGGGTCGGTTCGAGCCGTCTTGAAGTTCTCGTCGCATTGGAGGGTTGGCTTATTAGTGGAAATTTCTACGTGTATGTTCTCCGTCCTCATGTTGTACCTTTTGAAGTTGCTTATTCTTCTGCATCTTATAGGGCTTCTATTATTTCTAAAGGGCTGTTTATCACAATCGTATTCGCTGCACTTGGCTCTGTTATCGTGGATATGGTCAATTTGGTTACTTCTGTAACTGTTGCAGCCATAACCAGAGGAGCCTTCCATCTCGGGGTCATGATCATTGCTGTTCCTAGGCCCTAAATGGGAAGTATGTTTTATATTTAATTCACTCTTGTTGCCAAGTTTGTGCTGATGCATATTATTATTGACATATTTCGCATTATATTTTTTTCTCATATTGCTATCTGCATAGGTTGGGAGGTGAATACCGTTGGAGAAATTACCATTCTTGTTTATGCTGCTGAAAAGGGTGGTATCAATTTTGCTCTTTAGTGTGCTGTTATTATTGTCTATGACCATCTCCTGATTCTTATAATTATTTATAAACGAGCTGCTTTCTTTTTTCACTTCACATATTATATCATTTAACGAGTGGAGCATTTCGTAATGTTCTATATTCCAATTACAGGTTTTTTTCTTTTTCAGGAAATGATTAATGGGTAGGGTTATGTCATCACTTCTTACGTAGCTATTTTCCTCTACGTATTTATTATTTGGGCTTTTTTCCTTTTCATTTTTCTGCATATGTAATTCTTTGAGTAAATCTCCTGAACTGTTGATGTGCTTGGTCAGCATTTCCTCGTGCAGGTTGCTTAGTTCCCCATGTTGTGCTTCTTTGGAATAGAATTTGCTCTTCTCGATCTGTTGTTCGCGGTAATCTGGGTTGACATCCTTGTGGGAAATTCTGGAGCTATCCCGATGGGGTCTCCCTTTTAGATCAAATTGGTTATGGTCGCGGTCACTTTCGTTTCTGTCATCTTCGCTTTCGTTCTTTTCATCGTCGCTATCGTTTTTGTCATCGTCACTTGCATTTTTGTCATGGTCCCGACCATTCTTGTTATCGTCCCGGCCATTCTTGTCATCGTCACTGCCATTACTGTCATCGTCGTCACTGCCATTTTTCGCATTGTTGCTACGGTTGCAGTTATGACCGTAGTAGCTGTCATTATTTCCGCTGTTGTGGCTACTGCTGTAGGCATCTCCAGCGTCGTTTCCATTGTGCGTACGATAATTCGTGTTGTGATCCTCGCTGCCACTGTTGCTGGTGCCCCTGCTTTTCTCTCCTTTCTCAGAGTTCTTACTCGAAAGGCATTTTGTGAGGGCGACATTCGACTTATGTTCATCGTCGAAAAATTCCTGAGTTCGATTTGTGTGATTCTTTTCAGAGGTGTTCACACTAACGTGATTGCTATTTTGTTCCCCGCTGTCCTCGCAAGTGATTATTCCCTTGACATTTTGACTATTACTAATTTGGCCCCTATCGCAGTAGTACCTATAAATGCTTTTATACATTTGGAGCTTACTGTCCATAGGTTTATCACGTGTGTCATTGGTTCCATGGTGCGTCATCTCTGCACAGTGTGTGTATGTATCTGTTAGTTCGATTATTTTTTTATTAAGAAATGCAGGGTGATGATAGTTCTTGTCCATATTTTTTTTGCTTATTACCAGATTGACTGGACAGTCCTTTGGAAAGAACACTTTATATATGTTAAGCACATTTTTTTTTTCTTTTATATGGATTCTTTTATTTATCACATTGTAGTCCCCAAACGCGTGGGTATTCTCCATGACGGATAAATGGTTTCCATCGGTGAAAGGGGACTTACTATTGTGGTAGCCTTTATTCATTTGGGGCCCCCCCTCGAATATATTTTTCACGACATCATAATCACATTTTTCATTATAGTAGGAATTACCACCTTTGGCATGATCATCATTTTTTACATTTAAATTTGCATTTACTGAGTCACAACTTATTGTTGCGTGCGCCACATTCTCGTGATAATTCCTGTTGTCGCAAATATTAGATGTGGCATGACTGTAATTTTGTTGCTTATGCTTACGTCTGTAGTTACTTTGAGTTATGCTACTGGTGTCGCCTCTCGTGTTAGCTACGTTACTATTAATAGTGCAGGAGATGAAACCAAAATTTTTATCCAAAACGTCGTACACGTTTTTCATTTGGCAATTATTCACGTTACTTGTCTTTAAATTGTTGTTTTTTTCTTCTTCAACGGGGTGCACATGTGCCTTATTCGAGGTAGAGCCCCAGTGGCTACTCAATTTGTTATCATTATGGTGATAGGCTGATGGATTGTTTGAATTTTCCACGTAAAAGTCTGTACAAGTGTCTGTTTCATTCGTGTTTTTGATGATTTCACATTCGCCTGTGTGTTGGTCATTGCAGCCTGCGTCGTGCTTTTTGTACTTTTCCGATTTGTGCAATTGGCATTTTTTACCTTTGTGATATGTTTTGTGGTTGCTTGGTCCCTCCGGTCCCTTGTTCGCCCTTTTTGCATCGTTCAAGCCCCTTTTATCGCCTTTATCAATTTTGGCTATTTTGACCATTTTGCTGATTTTGCCAATTTTGTCGCTGCCTTCCTCTTCGCTTTTGTGTTTAATCCTGTCCTTCTTCCTCCCACTGGGTTCAGCAGATTCATGGTTCTTCATGAACCCAGTGGTCTTCCTTTGCGCCTTTACTTTATGAACTCTTGTTGCCGCATTCTTGTTGCATTCATCTTTATTTTCACGTAAATGGGCGGGTGCATTTGTAACTGCTACATCATTATTGCACGTTATTTTATTTATAGTACTTTTTAAAATATTTAAATTTGTCTCTTTCCTTTTATCCAAATATCGATGCCTTAAATTGTAAAATTCTTTGATGTCTCTACCCATTTTTTTTTTTTCTTGTCCTTCTCTATATGTTGAGTACCCCTTTTCCGTTTATTTTGTTCTATTGCAAGTTTCTATATTTTGGTTCTTTGACCACTTCTTTAATTTCGAATGAGCAAATGTTTGCATAACAGAAGTGCTTGATTTTTTCGTCGAAAATGGGGACACATTTAAGTACGACTCGGTGCAAATGTATATGTATATGCATCTATGTGTTTAATATTTTAAGCACATGCTTTCTGTTGTTCATAATTTTAGCCAGGTGTAAGAAGGTTGTATGATTAACTGCGGTGATTATTTTATGTATGTTGGAAAAAAAAAAAACAGTGTGTGAAGACAAAAAGAAATGAAAAAAAAGGCGATTGACGGGAAAAAACAACTACATGTGATTATAATGGTACATTTTATTCACGAGTACAGAAATTTGCCCATTTCCCCCGCACATACATTTCGACAATTCGTGAATAAATAGGTATGCACGTATAAGCTCATATATATATGTGTAAGGCCATTCATATAGTGTGTACGTGTGTACAAAAGCACACAAGTACGTGTTTGTACGTGCCGCTTACACGTTGGCCTCATTCACGGCACATGTGGTGAAAACAATTTGGTGTAAAATTTACAAAAATGAAAAACAAAAATTAAACCCTTTCTACGTGTACATTCAAATGTACGTACATAAGTATACGTGTATGATATGCTTACGAGGAGTTGCAGTCCCTCCTTATAGATATCTCTTTCACATTCGAACATTTCCAGCACTTAAAAATGATATAAGACCCATATGCTTAATTGTACTTTTTCACTTTATGGGCAGAAAAAGAAAGAAAAAATGGGGGAAGTGAATTAAATAAAATTAAATTACAAAATAAAAAACTGAACAATTAAAAATTGTGTAATGTGATGAAACCAGTTGAGCGATTTTCTTCCTTCACGCGTTTCCCTTCGTTCTGCTTGACAGATTTTTTTTTTACAATTTTTAAAAAGTGTTTTTAAAAAAAAAGGCCATATCGCATAACGTGTGAAAAAAGCGGAAAAGAAAAGAAATAAATAAACAGAAATTACAGGAGGAGAAATTAAAATGGGAAAAAAAAAGGGAAAGGGCAAACCTAAAAGCTGAACTTCAGAATTGAACGTTCAAAATTACAAATTCGTGATGGCAAATTTAAAGCTGCAAGTTAAAATTGCAATTTTCTTTTACCTTATTTTCACCATGCGATATTCCCATTTTATTTACACATTGCGGGGACCTTTTTTTTTACCCAGTTTTTTGCGTTGTTTAAGCCACTCCCCCAAACAGAAAAAAAATAAAATAAGCCCCCCAGAATAATTAATGGTGTAAATTCACATAGGATGAAAGGACTTTCCTTTATCCCCACTAGTAGGAACTTTATCAACGTACTGCCTCCATTTTTCAGAATTATTCGTTACGCTGTTATAATTTGTGTAAAAATCGTAAAAAAAGCAAAGGAAAGGAAACATAAGGCGAAGAGGCGGAAGAAAAACCATGAAAAAAAAGAAAAAATCATCATAAAATTAAAAGGAGCGGAATGTTCCTTTTGTTGAAGTTCTCCCCTTTTTATTTGCACAGTTAAGTGATTTGCATGACTGTACGCGTAAATATGTATATTTTATCGTCCACATACTGGGCCGGAGGGGTGCGGGAACCTGTGCATATAAACCAAATGTGAATGCTTTCAAATGTATGCCAAAAATTTTGAGGGAAAAACATAACACGCGTGGCGAATTTTACTAGCCCTCGAAGTCGTCTACGACATATTTTTGTGGAAAGAGAAAAAAAGGAAAGAGTCAAAATGCTGCGCCTGCGTATGTGCACATGGATGTATGCAGATTTATATGCACATATTCCACACAGAAGAAAATACGTATGCCTCGAAAAGGTGTGCGAATGATACCCACACCAGAAGCACTTTTTTTTTTCAAGCATAGCTTGCGAGGTGGAAAAATTTTAAAGAATCAATTACATCCATCGCCCAATGTGCATTTAAAGAGAAAAGAAAACATTTATGGCATTATTTCGATGATAAGAATAGAGCTGTAATTTATGGGCACACACTTTTGTAGGAAAAATTTTATAAAACCAATTAACGTTTCGCTTCGCATTCCCCTCAAAATCAGTTGTGCCTTGTTACGCTGGGCATATACAAACACATAAAGGCCCTACATTCGATGAACCACAAAAGAGCATACGTTTTAAGTTTCACATAATGAAGTAAACATCGCTAACTGGTATGATCACATAAGTATGCCCCCCCACTGCCGTGCAATGAAGGGGCGATGTGACTGCATATCAATAAAATCAGCAAGTTTCTATATTGACGTTTCAAATAAAACTATCTCCACACAGCAGAGGTGGAGAAGGGAAGATGCTCCTTATAAGAGCAATTCCTCCTTTTGTTATAAACCTAAGACAAATATGAATCTGTTATGGCCCACCCCTACACTTATATGAGATAACATGCTTGCTTTGTTAATATTAGTTTAATGCCTTTTTGGAGGGAAAAATAAAATTCTTCAGTTCTCTTAAAGGTGTTCCACTAAAATTAAATGTGCTATTGACGTAAGCCTTATTTTATTATTTTTTTTTTTGCTCCATGGCGAATACATTCGCACGAAGGGAGAATTTGTTAACAGAAAAGAGCAAATTATTCTTTTACCTGCGCATATAAAATGGTGTAGCCATTCCAAAAAAAGGAGTAAAAACGGCATAACCATGTAAATTAATCCGTTCCTCTCTATCGTATACGGAGGATCCTGTAGAATCTTCAAACAAGAGATGGTTTTATTGACAAAACAACTTTTCGTTTTTTTTTAAAGTGAGTTCTTTCCTATTGTGGTGAAGTTTCTACGAATATGATGATACCCGCCGTAAGGGGGAAAAAATTAATTTTGATAATGCTGTAATATGTTGTATTTATGCACTTTCTGCAGCAACCTATTCCTGGAAACAGGAGTAAACCTGCGATGGAAAAATAGTTGCCCATAGAAGGGGAGAATAAATGAAGTAGTTGAATACCATTTTTATTAAGGAAGCAACCATTAACTTGTCATGCGGGCATGGTCTAGTGGTTATGACGCCTGCTTTACACGCAGGAGATCCCGAGTTCGATCCTCGGTGCCCGTACTTAATTTTTCTTCCATTTTAAATTTACATTTTCCTAAAATTAACAAAATACGATTAACGGTTACATCATATATAACAAGCAAAACAAATGCAAAAAATCACAATGAAAATTTTCACTTTTTCATATTGGTTTAAGAAGTGTCAACATGTGGAAAAATCAGTTTTTCCAAGTATGCGATTTGTCGCTCCTTCAGGGGAGTTAAATTGGTATACATTTTTTTCCTAATTCAAAAGCGAGAAGCAATTTATTTATTTGGATGGCTCCTTATATAAAGAATATTTCCAAATTATGACTTAAAATTGCGCGTCACGTTTTTGTCGGGTGGTACTTCACGAATGGGTTTGCGCAAGGAAGGTTGAAAAGGTGTATATATGCGTATCGATATGTATGCACATTGTATATCAATATGTATGCATTTGTATCCATCTTTAGAACCCATTTGTGTGTTATAGGCGTGGGGATAAAGGGCTATATTTGGTTACGTATCTTTGTGCCTTTGAAGGGACGAATATTAATCACGTCGTACTCCTTTTAACTGGAATTTATTCATTTAACACAAATATAATGTGCACACGCACGCACGTATATATACATATAAGCATTTCTTTGTAGGTACTCAATTATGTATTGACAGGACATATCCTTTTAAATTACTCTTTTGAACCCCGTGAGGATTTTTTACAGTTAGCTAAAAGGAAGACTTCAAACGTGTGGTGATACATAAGTAGTGGAAAGAATTAAACACACAGTGGTTAAAAAGAAAAGAAAAAAACAGGTCCACATTGGAGAACATCCTTATTGTTTCTACTTTACGAGCGTGATGATATCCATCTTTGAAGCGCTGCGTTAAAATATGAAATGTTAAAAAGGTGAATACTAACTGGTGGTTATATAAAAAAATGTTATAAAATAAGCTATACATCTTTGTGAGGAATCGAGCCATAATTGCTCCATTTTATTAAAATAATACAGGAATAATTTTGCGTTAAAGGGTGACTAAATTTTTTTTTTGCTCTCGTTTAAATAAAAAAAGATTCCTCCTATTTATTAATAAACTTAACAACTATTTAATTCTTTTAGCAGGAAAAATAGCCACCTGGGAGGATCGAACTCCCGACCTTTGGTTTACAAGACCAACGCACTGCCACTGTGCTAAGGTGGCAATAGTGTATTTTGATCCTTTTTTACTATTATCCTTCACCAGGAGTAAGTAAACAGAAAAGTTGCAGCTACATTGGGTTAATCTTCATGTATTCAGGCACAAAAAAAAGAAAAAAGAAAAAAGAAAATAATAAATAAACAAAATAAAATAATTCAGCATTATGTACGTCTTTGTCCCCCTTTTTAAAGGGAGATTTGAGAATTCATTCTTTTCATTACTTTGTATTTGTTAAAATTAACAAAATATTGGCACCTCAAAAATGCGGAAGTGGCATTTTTTTTTTTTTTGCATAAGTTGACTTCTTTGGTATGCAATTTTTTTAAGTGTTAAGCTGACAATTTGCTTATTTAAAGAAAAAATATTTCGCCGTTTTTATGTTCAGAAGAATATCAACTTGGTGAAGAGCATTTATAGAACACACTCATGTCACAGTTGCATTTTATCTAGAAAATACATTCCCCGTTTTGTAGCAAAAAAAATTGACCTGAAGCTGCTAAGATGCTCCATAATTAAGTGTTTTGCATCGCATTGCAGGTGCGTGTGTGTGTAAATGCATATCCCTTTTTACTTCTACTTTCTTATTTTTATTTTTTTTTGGAAAAATTAAGCGTGCATTTGTCTGTTACGAATAGGTACGAATTAATTAACCCATGTGCACGTTGATGGGGCAAATGAATCCTACGTGTGTGAGTGCATATCAGATAGAAAACCCGTCAGAGGAATGGTGATATAAATCTTTGCCAATTCTAATCATTTGGAGATGTTAACCTTTTATTTTTTTCTTTGGATGTCTCGTTGCAGTTGGTAAGTGAAAATTTTCACAAGCTCTAATGAGAGGAGTTAACATTTATGGTTCATATGCCATTGTATAGAGGGTCATAATTTTTCTGCTTATTTGCATACATTTGTTCATATGGACAGAAATATATTTATTTAACGTCTTCTTTGAAGCATTCTTTTAAGCCTTTACAAGGGATAATATAATAGGAATGTGCAACGTAGCGCGTATGCTGACGGGCATAGCAGGTTAAAAACCGGGCGAATGAAAATCACGTGGAAAGAATAATCACAGTCAGTGGTAACAGTCAAAATCGTCTTCACTAAGGTGACAAATGGCGATTAGGTATACATAAGTGAATGTACATATGTCTATACCCATTGTGTGATGTGGTATGTTTAATAATCCTCTATATGTTCAATGTTTAAAAAAACAGAAACTGATATTCTCGCCAATAGGGCAGTTTTAATTCTGCTGTGCTGCAACAGTTATTTATCATTTTACATTTGGAATGGTGATAAATAAATCTGAGGACATGAGAAACGCTGATTCGGCGGACTAAAAAATAACCAACAGAAGTGAGAAAAAAAAATATATCAAAAGGCTTGTAATAAACTTTGGCCCTCTATTTTTGTCGCAGGTCTGCTGTTTTACAAGCAGAAATTTTTAATTTCGAAATGAAAAAAACACTTTAATTAGTAATCCCAATGTGCACTCGAAGGCTGCAATAAGAAAAGATTAATGGCTGTAGAGCAGTTTTTTATTGATTCTTCCTTTTTTCTTTTTTTTTTTTTTGAAGTACTAAGCATTTTGACGTTATGTGTTTTAGAGTTGAACACATAATTCGTGTTTTGTAGCGCCAGAATAAATCTTTTTCTTTTCTTTTTTTTAAGTAATAAGAAATCGTTATTTTTAAAAACCCTTTTCTTGCTACCCCGTTGTAGTATATTTTATAATGATAAAATATGATTTTTTTTTTTTCTCTCTCTTCTTCATATTACTATATTTTTCTGTTTAAAAATCAAGCCCTCCAATTAAAAAGATTGAACATTTTGAAAATATTCTTCCCCTTGTTTTATGCGAACGTGAGTGATGACATATACGTAAATTGCCAATATACCAAATGAAAGTAGAAAATGAACAGGTGTTTCTAGAGATCTTTTAATTTTTCTAACCGCTTATGATTTTTTTTAATAAACTCTGTAGAAAAAAAGAAGTTCCAATTTTAAAAATTAGTGCCTTATAATAGTTGCAGTTGGACGTTTGTTAACTATTTCTTTAATGAGTTTTGCTATTTCTTTTGGCATCTCGTGCGTTTATTTTGCCATCAAAGAGGTCTTCTCAATGTAGCCTAAGCATAAAGGCGAATTAAATGTTGATAGTAACAATACATTTTTTTTTCTACATATAGCAATTCACCTTTCATAGTCTTCTTTTGACTGAGCGATATAGAAACTTGCCATTTCGCTGATTTCGAGTGCTGTAAGAAAAGTGTTGGGTTGGCAGGAAGGCATCGCGACAAGAGGGGAACCACCTGTCCATGTAAACACGTTGATGTACGCATATGCATTTGTACCTTTGAACGTGGGCGCATATGACCCTATGCACTGCACAAGGGTGAACAACAAAAACTACTGTACATCATCTCAAAAACGGAAAGTATATAAGTACACCCAAAATGGAACGGAAAGGAGCCAAAAGTAGAGGAAAGAAAGGAGAGAGTTTTCTTGAAAAAAATGAAGACATTCATAAAGAATTCTTATCCGATGATCTTTCCACCCACAAAATAACAAATGAGAGTAAGCTATTTGACGAGGCAGACAAGTGCTCATCACATGTAGGCAAGAAGGAGGATGCGAATATACGCAAAAGGCAAATCGGAAGGAAAATTAAAAAAGTAAACGGTACTAATAAATTTATGGAAGTGAGATTCTATATATTTCTGGTTCTTTTAATTTGTTTCTACTCCCTTTTAGTGGTAAGACCTGAATTTTCCGTATGGCGAGGGAATTTGAATGCATCAATATGTGAATACGTTTGTCCTCTTCGCGATTCGTTTGCGTCATCCATGATTTGTTAATTCATGGATAATTGATTACAAATGAAAAGTAACAGTAGGAGTTAGTGACCTTTTTGTAAAATGACTTCATTTTTTCTTTTTCACACTTCAGAACATGATTCGGAAGGGACTGGGCTTTGTTTCCATAGCACACCGGTTAATGCACTTACAACCCGAAAGTATTTCCATGTAGGGATTAAAGTGGGCCACCTTTTTCGTAGGCGCGATTGCGCTATTGGTGCAGGCGGGAGGAGGATGATGAAGAGGGCGGAGGGTTCTTTTCTACGTGTTATAGGATTTAACATATTATAACTGCGCTTCGGTTGACGTTTCCAAAAGAGTAGAAATCTCAAGTGTGATGAATGAAGAGCCAAATTGATGGAAGTGCGTCCCGGATTAATGAAGCAGAGACAACTATGAAAAGAGCCAAAATCGGAAGAATCATGAACATAAATACATCAAAAAAAGCATAAAAAAGCATTAGCGAGAATATGATGACAAACGTTTCAGGTTGTTATTCATTCGTAGAGAATCACGTTAAGTGTTTTTATTTTTGCGCATTTGTGTAAGGAGAGTTTAGGCCCAACTGAGCTTACTCAATTGCGCTTTTTTTTTAGTACTTCGTTCACTTCCCTTTTTAAGTATACCTAATTGTACACTCGCTTGCTTTTTTGTTAACTGTAAAAAGGGGGCGAACTTGGACGGTGGTCTGTTTATATGTGCTTTGAAAGTGGAGTGCGGTGCTAGTTCGTAACATACACGCGCGTGCTCACATGCATAGAAAACTGCACACATGTTTGGCATAGTAAGGAAAAACTTCATTTTTTGGTTATTAACATGTTGAAAATAGCGGTCAGAACAAAATGAGAAAAGAAGGACAGAAGGAGCAATGATGTCGTCTTTATTTTATCCCCACATGCATGTAAGCATAAAAGGATGAGTTGAACATGGTATAAAGGCGTTTACTCAAAAGTGTAAAAACAAAGCAGGTAATTATTATACAGTAAAAGGGGGTCATGGAATTGTTTGTTGAAATTGAGCAGAAATTAAACGTCAGTGCATGAAATTAGTATTGCACATAACGCACGGGAGGGCATATATATGTATATACATATATATGACAAAACGGAGCTTATTTTTGGTGCATTTTTTTTCATGCTAAAAAAGGTGAAGGAATGGTGTAATAATCCGGGATACATCGTGCTGTTAGAAGTAGAACATTTTGTGCCTACGTTCATGGGGAGTAAGAATTTTTTTCGAAATTAAATACGTTTCTCTCATTTTTCTTACTTTAATATGTTGTTGTCTATTTCCGCAAAACTAGGGTTCACCCTGATGTTAGTAAAATGCACTAGCTCCTCTTTCCATAGGCGCAGGACCACGTTTGATCAGTGCAACTTGTGTATATGGCTTGAGGAGACGCATATAAAAGGCACATAAGCAGGCATATAACTTTAAATTAATCGTCAGTACGTATGTCAAGTGATATTTCTTTACTCGTTCCTGGTGCTGAAGTTTTTAAAAGTCTGTTCTTTTGTTGAGGATTACTTACTACTATGACTTCCTTTTCTATGGTTGATTCTCCTTTTGTTTTTTCCATTCCTTCATCGATAAATGCAGGAATTTGTAGTACTCATGTGTGAAAGGATTTTTATATGTTTGAATTAATGAGGCCTTTAAAGAATCATATATTTCTTTGCATGAACTAGAAATAGTTTTTAAATGCAGAATTGAGACACGTAGCATGTAATCCTTAAGTTTTAGGGTATGCAAAATATCATTAAAATAATCGACCCATAAATTCGACTTGACTTTTTTCCATTAGGGATGAAATTTTTTTGTTAATTCGTTATTAGCCCAATTAATATGAGCATTTTCAAACGCTGCATTAAATTGTCTATCTCTATATTCATAATATTCCTTTCTGTAAGAATCACATTTTTCATCATGCATTTCTTGTTCTATTCTTTTCACTTCATTTATTCTTCTTAATTCATTGAGGAACTACTGAGCCGTATCTTGTAGACGCTCTTGTGAAATATTTAATTCATTGCGTTTTGCATTTTCGTTAAGAACATTAACTAAAATGTCTTTGGACTTTAGGAGAACTCGTCTTTCTTGGCTACCGATTTTTTTAAAGTGTTCATTGGCTATTTCGACCATTTCATATTTGAACTTAATAAATTTCAGATACTCATCAAAGTTGTCAATATGGTTAATGGACAAAATTTTGTTTATGTCTTCTTCACTTAAGGCGGGACCTGATGACCTCTCTGCCTTGATTGTTGTGCATGGAAAAAACGAATTGAGAACGAAATGGTACGAAAAGAGTGGAAATATTTTTCAAATGGCCATTTTAACGAATAATGCATGCGTTAAAAAGAGGGAGAAAAAAAAGTGATGAAGTGCTAGTTTAGGATGAAGTTCATATTACAAAATGGAAAAGCGACGATTCATCATTCGTTGCGTTCTTTTCCACCGCTGACTGTGAAAAGGGGGAAATTCATCTGTTCTCCGTAATGCACTCTTGGAAGTTTGGCCATTGTAGCACGGTCATTAGGGATTTGTCTTTTCAATTTGCTTTCCTGTTTTTTTTTTTTTTTTTCCTATTTGGGGAGATATGTAAATCGAATATGTCCCATGTTTTAATAATTTAGGACAGTTCTGCACTTAGTTTGACGACAAATTTGTTCAACCTGAATTTAGCTCAATTGGGGTTTTATTTTATTTTTTTTACACTACACTCTGTTTTACTACATTTTTCTTCACTACATTTTTCTTCTCTACATTTTTCTTCACTACATTTTTTTCACTACATTTTTTTCACTACAATTTTTTTCACATCATTTTTTTCTACATCATTTTTTTTTCACTCCTTTTTAGAGGACGTATTTGCACCATTTCTTATTTTCGGTTCAGCAAAATTGTACTTTCATTATCGCTGAAGTAAAGGTATATAAAAAATATGCATTATTGAGAAGGGCAGGAAAAATGGAGATGTAAATATATGCACATAATTACAGTTGATTAAAATTCATGCCGCTTTCACCAAAGGGAATACAGATAAAGAAAGAACTTAATACTGTTCTAAGTTTTATCATTTAGAAACACGAAAATGGGAAATGCTCCATTTTAGCAGACAGTGGAGTCGCTTTCTGCTGTTTGTCTGCCCCTGCAGCGTTGTGTACATATGGACATATGCATGGATGAATGAAGCAGCGCTAATTTTGTTAAAATATGTTACGGAATAAAATAATTAGTAATTATCCAGGAGACAATTATTTTTTTCCAAAAAAGGAAACGTTATTTGCTACAGAATAGATAACAGAATTTTTTTTATTATCATTTTGTTACATTTTTTTTTTATACTAAGCCGCGCCATAGACATGGTTATCTAAAATATTTGCCATTTTTTACACCTAGGGAAAACAAAAATATCGTAAAAGAATAACATTCCTAAGACTTTTCTAACATTACAAATTGTGTGCTGCTCCCAAAGGTGTGTTCTTTAATTCCCCCCATGGTGTAGCTACTATAATGAGCTGATGCGACGAATATAGAAAAAAGGGGGATGCTCGTTATAATAATATGGATACGCACGTGCTGTTATCCACGGCAGTAGCTGGCATTGTTCACCTTGGCATTATCGAGAACATAAAAACTAAGTTTTTACCTTAACATATCAACACACAAATATGATGCTAATAGAAGAAAAGCAACGATTAAATTGCTCCTTCGCTCGTTATACCATTAAACAAGACACATAACCTAGATTCTAAAAAAGCAGCTGGAAATATTCCATTTCTAAGAACTCACAACTTCGTAGATATGGAGGCGTGATATGTAGCGCGGTGTGAGTTCTTACATATTTTTTTTTTAAAGAACATTAGGAATGCCGCCTTGAGGTATACTACAAATTCAGCAACCAGAGGAAAAGTCTTCCATCCTGGTACTATTTTTACGAGTTCCTTATTTGTTTATTATTACTATTGCTATTATTATTAATATTGCTATTATTATCATTATTTTATTTTTTTTTTCCCATTTCCATATCTTTTTTCTACCATTTAAATTACACTTTTGTGCCTTCATAACGAAGAACTTCCCATGCAGTGAAAGAAAGATTTGCGCTTTTTGAAATGGCAAAATTTTGCCATATCGAATTATTTCATAACACTAATCAGTAATGGTAATAGTAAGGATGACAATTGGGACTTAGGGGGACGACAATGGCAGTGCTAATTCGTAAAGGCTAACTTTCGTAAGATGTAATATTCTCATTTAGGGAACATTTAATGCGCTATTGTGCTAAGAGGCATTAACGCACATGAAAAATAGCTTGCACAAAATGCTATGAGTGCACAATTGAACGTATAAAAGAAACATCTACACAGAGCTTGCATGAAATGTACGTACATGTAAACTATGCCCGATTCGAAAAGAAAGGGGGGGTGCATATTTTTACGTTGCACAGAAAAAAAAAAAAAAGAGAATATATTTTACATGTTGTAAAAATAGAATAATTACTTTAGCTCATCAAATATGTAACTCCTTAAATAACCTGCCCTTGGCAAATATTTAGAAAAATAAATTATATTTTTTTCCGTGGACTGTCCATTTTTTATAATATCATTTCTTCCATTGATACTTGGAATTTCAAGTTTATAAAATCGTATAAAAATATAAAATAAATCATAGAATGTACAAATGTACAAATACACGAAAGTCTAATTAGTTAGAATTTACATAAATTTTACAAGTGGAATTATTTCAATTCTTTATACAAATATTGTTTAAAAATTATTATAAAAAAATAGAATAAATAAATAATTTATTTGTGTTCCTTTTAGCACCAAATGGCGCCCCTATATATATACTGCATTCTTGTTCAGGGAATATTTAGATATGCGGATTCTAATTATTCAAGGAAAAAAAAAAAAAAAAACACGATAGAGGGTTAGCATGTTCGAAACTACTGAGTATGAAGTAATAATTTATTTATTTGCTTTTCAGGAATTAATCAAAAATTAGATTATAAGCTAGGAAATTAGTACCGTCATAACATAAATAATAATTTTATAGAATTTTTCTTTAATTAAACTGAATATATATACATTCTTTATCCTAACTTTGTTGCATGCATAAATGAAAAAATACTTGTAGCTTTAGGAAGAAAATAAAATAATTTAAGATAAATTTAAAAAGAAATATAAAAGAATATAACACAGTTTTTTTAAAATTTGTTACCAATTTAGAGATCAGAATTGATTACTTTTACTAAATTTTAACATTTAGAATTTTATTTATTTTAAGATATTAATTATTTAAAATTTTGATTTAAAAAGTAAACATAAATAATAGAGAAAGACTTATTACGTAACGATTTTTAGATATTATAATTTTTACCTTAGAAAAAATGGCTCCTATAAGCAAATACAATAACAATAGCGGTAAAATGAACATCTTCCCTTTCACCGTGAAGGTTTTCACCTTTGCCTGCGTTGTAGCTTGTTTCTTCCAAAACTACGAAAATGTAAGGAAAAAGAGATTATAATAATGAGGATATGAAAAGAAAAGCAAAAAAGGGAATTTAGATTTCCTGTTGTGCATTACGATATATTTATATATACATATAGCTACGCGTAATACGTACGACGTATGTGTGGTATGCCTATCTTGATGTGATGAGGAAGAGAGCTATTGGCGTGAAAAAAAATGTACAACGGGTAATCGTTAAGGAGACGCATCTGCTCTGGACACGCCACCCACAATGTGTGCATTTTCTGCTCTTCCTTTTTCTATGCCAATTTTTTAGGACTCATATACGAGGTCATGCACCAAGAGCTATGGATACCAGGTCCCATCATATGAGACAAAATTCAACAGAATGTTAGCTGAGGCCGCCGAAGCTGCCACTTCCGATGCTGCCGACGCCGCCACAAAGGAAGAAGAACCCGCCGAAAAAAGCGTGTTCGAAGGAATGATAGGCAGTTTTGTAGACACTGCTTGTGAACAATACGAGAAGGAAGTGAAACCAAAATATGATGAAATCGCAACTTCTATTAGGAAAAATTTCGAGGAAGATATGAAACCAAAGATAGAAGCAATTAAGAAAAGAATTAAGAAGCATTACCAAGAAAGTTTAAGATCAGCATTAGATAGTTTAGAAGATAAACTAAAGGAATTTGTAAAGTATCTCTCAGAATTAGGTACAAATGAAGAATCAAGTAGCAACAACATAATCGACATGGAATTCAATTTCACTGAAGGAAATGATTTTCCAACTGTTAATGACGTTGCTCAGGATGTACTTGATCAATTAGATGACTCTGAATGGTCCCTTCATAAAAAATACGAAGATTTAAGAGATGAATTTGTTACCAAATTGAAGGATATCCAAAAGGAAGTAAAACCAAAGAGTGATGAACTTACCGAGAAATATTTGAATGAACTCGAAATGAGAATGAAACCGAAAGTTGATCAGTTAGCTGCAGCCATAAAAGACATCCAAAATGAAATTAAACCCCAATTTGATGATATTAAAGAAAAGTTATTAAAAGATATCCAAGAAGAAGTAAAGCCCAAAGTACAAGTATTTGCTGATAAAATTTCCGATCTCGAGAAAGAAGTCCTTCCAAACATGAATAAATTCGCTGATAAAATTAAAGATATCGAAAAAGATGTTCAACCCAAAATTGATGATGTAAAAGCTAAATTTAAAGATCTTGAAAAGGAAGTAAAACCCAAAATTGAAGACTTCGCATCCAAATTAAACATCGAAATTGATGAAGACGTAAAAAAAATTGAGAATGTTGTAAGCAAAGTAAGAAATGAAATTGAAGCTGAAGTGAAACATAAAATTGAAGATTTCGCATCTAAGGTGAAAACTGATATTGAGAAAGATATGAAACCAACTGTCGATGAGTTAAGAAAAGTCATTGTAGACAAATTAACCGAAATTGATCAAGATTACGACCCATCTTTTGAACAAACCATAAAAGAAACATTCGAAAAGATCAGTGAAAATATACCAGTCAAGAAGGAAGATATCTCGGAAGTACAGAAAACTATTAAAGAAAACTTAAAAACCTGCAAAGAAACCATCGATTCGGTGATCAATGGAAAATTGTTACGTGGATTTAAATTGTTATAAGAAGATAATATTGTAAATAAATATATGTTATATATATTATATATATATTAGGTGCAGACATCGCACACATTGCATAGTGTATTGTATATATATATATATATCTGTACACTCTTACCTGACAGGACCCTTAGCTTTATGCACGAATATACACTTACATGCGTATGCACACAGTTAAATCGTTCTGATTTAAGCATATTCTTACCCTTTTTTCGACTGTAAAATAGCAATACAATGCGGGTTTTTCCGTGCTATATATAAACACTTATTATTCCACAAATATGCCATGTGTGACTCGTATGAAAGCGCTTATTTTTTTCAGTTAAATATATAGTATGCATGATTGGGTAGATACAGTCGTATTAACATATGTGAGAAAAACTTAACATTTTTAAAAAACGAAAAAAACTTTTTCCCTCAATATATTTTAATACATATAAATGGACTCAATAGATGCCGCTTTATGCAATGTCCCCCGCATGTTCTTTGACAATGCGCTATACTTCAAATCGTAAATTTAGCATAGTAACGATAATGTGCATATATAAATATTATGGATGTATCCTTATCTTTTTGTTGTTACGAAACAGCAGATGCCGTTGAAATTTTTTTTCTTTTTTTTTCTTATTATGTATGCCTTTTTACTATACATCTTTGCTGTTTAATTTTCACGATACATTTTGCGCATAATGATTTCCGTTGTATGATGCCTTAGAATTAGATAAATCAGCGATGTGTATACACAAGGGGGTAATATGATACAATAATATATGTATATATTTATATTTCTTTCAGGAGCTTCATTTTTATAAGATATATATATATATAGATTTATTTGCCTGGAAAATTACAACAAGATGTTAAAATTGCCTTTCAATGATTGATGAACCACAATGTTTCATAGTATAATGATAAAACAACTTTAGTTAATGGCTTTTATAATCCCTAAGAGGAAGTTATAAAACATGCTGTGTGTATTTAGAAGCTTAAATAGGAGCAGGATGAAGGTATTCTTCGCTCCATATGCACATATACTATATGTACATATCTATGTATATTCAATGGTATGTATACACGCCTTAAGACAAACGCTCTTTTTACGGAAGTGTGTTTATGAATTGGCTTCCATTCGAATACCGCATACATATTTAATATCGTAGATGCTCAGTTTTGTTATTTAATGTGTGTGTGCGCTGCATGGTTAACTTTAATGCCAAATGAGATTAGGAATTAAATTCGCTTTTACAGTTCCCCATTTTTGTACATGAGAAGCTGCAACCATGTCGAAAAATGCGCCGATTGTACTCTTAATCAGCATGAAGAGGATCGCGCAAAAGGCTGGTTCAAATGATTTCACGTCATATGAGTCTATTTTTTATCTATTTGCAATAACATATTTTATTATGCTTGCAAAAAAGGCAGGAAGAAAAAAAAGAAAAAATGATAGTTATTTAGGATGTTGTCTAACGTTATGCTACGCGAATTTCCATTTTCAGTTCATTGGATCTACAGAAGCTATTCCTGAGAACATTTAGCCATGCGAACTAGTGTTTAATTCTACACTACCCTGTACGGGTATCCATCTTAGCATTGAAAACGAATCTATCTTTAACTAAAGAAGAAAAGAATGAAGAAAAAGGTAAAATATTTTTTCGCAACTTGGGGATACTCAAATGCATGTACATTTTTTTAGTGAAAAACATAGCCAAAGGTGAATTGCAAACAAGAAAAAAAAAAAAAAAAAAAATTTCAAATATGCGTATTTCTAACAGGTTTACTTGGAGGGGAAAAAACCATCAAATAAGTTTTCCTTAATAAACATAAAACTAAGCCCTGTTATCGTAACAAGACGCTATGACTCCTTTTTTTATGTCTTCTTTTTTCGGCACATGTATATATATATCTTCGTTAAGGAGCACAGTAACACTTTCTATTCGCATAATTATTTATTGTCATGTCCAAAGTGTATATTTTCTATATGGGGGCATTCATTTTTTAGAAAAGGAGTGATCACATGCCTTATAGCGAATAGGGTAAATGGAGATAATGTAATCTGGATGAAAAAAAACGCAAAATAGATGTCAGCCCACTTTCTGCTATAATTCTACCGTCAGACGTTTATTAACTTAAGCACACCCTTATTTTACTAAATCATAATTACTCCTTTGGGGGCACCATTTGGGGCTAGGGTGGTGTGCAATGCGTAGGAGCCCCGTAAATAGCTAAATGTACATAAAAGCGCATACATAAAGATATTCGCGAGCGCATAGTACTCTGCCCCATTTCGATAAAACGCGTTTCATGCTAAGTTAGACACCTCCTTTGCATAATTTGAAGGAGCATAAACAACTTATAAAATAGGGAATAATAGAAAGAGCGCTCCCACTTGTTATCAGTACTCACTTTCAGTAGTCGTCTACAAAAAAAAAAAAATTACATCAATACGTTCCATTTTTTTTTAAATAGTATGGACACAATATATAATGCATAACAGGATGACTGATACTGCTCTATCTTCTTTCACATTTTCCACTAAAGGAAGAAACACCAGATAGAATAGTAGCACAATAACATCGATGGTTTAAATTGATATAGCCCATTTTGCCTATGAAAAGGTGTTTTCTTTTATTTAAATCAAGCCAAATTAAAGCTTGCTTAAAATCATAAAAAAGGAAAAACAGAAAATTAAAAGAGATCTTAATAGGTTTTAATGAGCTAGATGAGCCTTTTTATTATAAATAATAACTTTTAGAGGAAATAACTTTCCATTTCGTCTGGGGAATTGGAATTATATAGTAAAACATTATCCTCGTCTCAGTAATACTGCTAAAGGATAGCGTATGCTTGTCTTATAGGAAACAAAAATTCAGAATTTGCAAAGAGTCTAACTTAATACTTCTTTTTCCCGATGATTATAAGATAACACTAAAACATACGCCGTTAGAGTTATGCATAAAATGTAATACATACGTCTATATATTACAATACTGTATGTTTTAGCAGTTGACTGAATATTTCATATTCCTATCCATTAGTAAACGTGCTTAATGGGGGGAATTGTACATGTATGCGGTCCAACTTTATTGACAAAGAATACGTCAAAGTAAGGGGCGTTTTTTTCTTGTGCGGAGTTTCTTCTTAAGGGTGGCGGGAAAATTTTTTTTAGATATTTTTTGCTTTTCTGATGAGAGAAAAAAGAGCTTAACATTTTAGTTTAAATCGCGACTTCGACAATTTATTGAGAATAAATCCTCCTAGGTATAATATCACATAGTATCATAAAATGGCTTAGAGGTACTCGTAACGCTAATTTGATATTTTATAGTATCGATAAATTAGAAATTCCAAGTTAGGAATGGGGAAAAAATAAAGAATTATAAAAAAAGATTCCTAAATAGGCATGAATATTTTTAAATACATATGTAAGCAGAACAAGAAGCCGGGCGAATTTAAACAAATCGTCATGTTAGAAATAGGAGTTTAGGGATTACTTAATTAGGCAGGAAATTTTAGTTAAAGCCTAATGTTATAAAATACGTATTTTTTTTTTTTCTTTTTTTTTAATTTGAACTTACCACTTCCTTTCATGTTATAGTACACTTTTGAGTAATTAGGACAAATGGCCATTTTGTTGTACGTATGCAGTAATTTCATCCAAAAAAATAAACAAATGCACATAATTAGAGTAAAATAAAACATACGGTTAATACTGTTATATACTGTGCTGAGTTTTATTTTTGCGCAAAATTTACAATCCTTTTTTTTTAATCTATATATTATGACAATGCATTCTTTACTTTTTACGCAAAGGATTTGTAGCGCGTAAAAATATTCATGCGAAATTTTTTAGCGAACTGAATAAAAGCGAATATTAAATATATTACCAAAATTTATTTCAAAAGGTAATTTTTTGATAAAAATAAAAGTGATTATAAGGCTCATTTTTTTCTTATTGTTCTTTTTTTTTTTGAAAACAAATGCATTATGTCTATATACATAAAATACAATTTTTCCTGAAATTAAAAATGTTCACCCAACCCTTTCGATGTAGCAATTTTTACATATATGTATATATAGGAGTACAAATATATTTAATATCCCAAAAATATGTTTTCATTATATTATTTTGAATAAGTAACATATTTAAATTTTTCTTTTTCTATTTTTTATCTGTGTCATATTAAAAATTGCGCTGATTTTATTACAAAAGCAAAAACGTTTTACTTATAATTACTATTTCAGATTTTTTATTGATTTTATGCAATTTATTTTATATTTGCCTTTTTTAGAGGATTATATTTTATTATATTTCTTTAATATTTTCTACGTTTCTTTTAAATTTTTATATTTATCTAAAGTGTTTTCCATATATTTCATAGATTTAAATTTACGTGTAAAGTAAGCGAGGTAATTTTACCATACTTCTTGCTTTTACTTATACTCTTACATTTCCTGCATTATGCTATTATTTATGCAATCTTCCGGCTTCATGATAATAATGATTTTTTTTATTTTACTTTAATTTTTCTTATGGTATGATGTCGCGGTACGTTATGTCGTATTTTCGTTTTCTATACTAAACTTATTTTCGTTCGCGTCTTTATAGTCACATATGCATAGTTTATATCTTCCTTCTTTTTACTTATATATGTTGTTTCGTTCTTCATCGTTAACTGTACAATATATTTGCATAGTTCATGCATCGCGACCAGAGTATATTTTATATTTCTTACTCCTTTAAAAAAGAGCTACAATTCTGTAACAGTAAAATTTAGAATCATCCTTGTTTTTCACTTGTTGGAAGTTTGTTGAAAATTAAACCGAAGCATGCCTAGGTATATATATATTACTTCTTACGTATCTATGTACATATATATGCATTATGCGAAGATATGCTTACATTCCTATATTCCAAACTGTGGATGTACCCTGATGGATTCATTATTATGTAATAAAATGAAGCTCCCGCCCACAACACTTTTTATCACAAAGTAAAAGTTATGTCACGAGCTTTACTGTAATCTAAGGAAATGTATAAAATATCTCTTGCTTCGCGGATAAGGATATATTACATGATCTATTGTATGTGCATTATCTACCATATATGTATATCCTGCAAGAACTGCTCTTCTCATATATATATAAACCGAATGTTGTAAAGGAGGAAATAATCAGCATATAAAAAATAGAACAGCGATATTTTTGTATTTTCCGTAACGTATTAATTAATTAATGATCCCTATTCTGTTACATATTTACATCGCGTATATATTTTATCTTGCGAGAATTCCAAATATTTCTGGTTGTTAAAAGGAAAAAGTTTTAAAGGATATTTTATTATTGTCCTTAAGAAACGATAAGGCTTTTTGTGTGCTCATATATGCACACATAGCACGTAGACACATAATACATATAACTATGGATAAAACTGTGTAATGAAGTCTGAAGTTATAAGATATTATAGCTTATTCTTTTATCACCTCTAGTGAAAACAAACATTTAGAACTACATGTTCAAATTTTACCGCGGTTTGACAATAATGTATGTAAACAATATAACATTGCTGAAGTAGAAGATCTACATAATGAAGAATATAGTTCTTCTTCTAAGTAATTATCATCTTATTGAATTTAAAAAGTGTATATAATGGAGCAGCGAAGATCTGTAGAATCAGAGACCACTACAAATGATGGTAGTGAATCCGAGATAAAATCATCAACAGATGTTTTTCCATCAGTAATAGAAAGATTAATGGGATGCAGTCTTAAGTATAAAGTAAATATAGTAGAATTTTTTAACAAAGTTTCCCTTTTCGTCCTTGCACTATGGATCCTAAATTTCCTCAGCAATGTAAGATAGATGGAAATATATGTTTAAAAATCTACAGTTCATGTTTGAAGCTGCTTAATTTTGAATACCTATTATGTGTTTGTATATATTGTGTGCATCTTTAAGTAGCCTTACCTGTACAGACTGTGAAAGTGCATACATTGTACATATTAATGCAAACTATAATGATGCACACATGTGTATAAAATAATTTCGTCCCCTTATGTTTCATCCATTTTTTATAGCAAACTAATTTTTCAGAAAGGTGGGATAATAACAGTAACGATGGGAAAACAGGAATTACGCCAATTTTAGGGGCCAAAATGAACAGATCTTTATCCCAAGTGGATGTAATAAGCATGACATCGCATCTCCCTAAATATTGTAGACCATGGGATAAACCATCTACTTACACGGACGTATCACAATTTCCAGTAAAGATGCCAACACGCAGTATGCCTCCAAAAGGACCCAATAAGATGCCCTCCTATGGACCTCGTACCCGAGGTCCTCCCAATGGACGTCCACCATTTCCTCCAAATGGTTATCATCAAGATGGTACACTGAAAAGACCTCCTCCACATGGTCCGCCCAATGAAGGTCCACAACTTCCTCCTTATAATTGTCATCAAAATGATCCAACCAAAGGACCTCCTCGGCAAGGACCCCCCAATAAACATCCACAACTTCCTCAAAATGATTATCATCAAAATGATCCAACGAAAGGACCTCCTCGGCAGGGACCTCCCAATGAACATCCAAAACTTCCTCAAAATGATTCTCATCAAGATGATCCACTGAAAGGACCTCCTCCATATGGTCCTCCCAGTGGAAGCCTGCAGGATCGAGCCGAGGTATCTCCTCATGAGGGTCCTCCCAGTGGAAGTCCGCAAAGTGCAGCCGAGGTATCTGCTCCTCGAGGTCCTTCCGATGATAGTCCAAGTAGGTATGCTAGTGAACGTTCAAAGAGTCCCGCCGGTGTAAATGAATCAGAAGTATATTTAAGGGAAATCTTTCCACCAGTCCCTCCAAGGGGACATGATCCAAGTGTACCTGTAATGTTTGAACATCATAAACAGTTTTTTCAACAGACGGAGGCTAATGAAGAATTAGAATTTATAGATCCACGTTATGAAAACCTTAAATATATGAAAGAAGATCGTGATAATAAAATACTAGCAGGAAATCCACCAAGTGATAAAGGAGAAAATGTTAACCCTGCTAATAATATTGACATTGTACGGCGTCCTGCCCCTCAGCAAATTAGGGTTCAAAAAGTTCAGGAAGAAGAGAAAAAAGGGATCTTGGGAGAATTCGCAGACACAATTATGAGTAACATTTATGAAGTTGAAATGGAGCGAAATCCAGCATTAGAATTAATAAAAGAGAACATTATAGATAATATTATTTCAGCAAATAAAGGAGTAAAAAAAAATATTGACATGATAACAGAAAATATCGCAAATGTCTTGAAAACATCTGAAACCAGTGATTGGAAACTTCACATGGATTTAATTAAAGAAACAATCGTAGAAAAAATTGGAAGTCTAGATCCAGAAGATATAAAATCTAAATGTGGAGAAATAAAAGAAAATATTCTTGAAAAAATAACAGAAAATATCGAATCTGACGTAAAACCCAAAATTAATGATATAAAAGATACCATTAATAGAAATATAGAAACCTTTGAACATGAAGTGATACCACAAATTGGAAAAACTATAAAAGACTGCGTTACAGATACAATAGGAGACATTTCAACTGGTATTGAAAAAACGTCAGAAACAATAAAAGACGCAGTAGTGAGTAATGTGAAAACATTGTATGATAATGTTCCTGAAGGTATAAAAGACATGGCGAAGAAAATGACTCCAGATCCAAACTTAACCATGGAGGAAAACTTAATAAATGCAGTCACTAAATCAAGATATGGATTTAAAGTTTTCGGATCTGTTACAAATTATTTTAAAAATTTAGGAAGAAGAACTAAAGCAGTTGGAAGTGCTGTTATATCCTTTGCATTCACAATCGGAGCAATCGGTACTCTGATTGGAGGCGGCTCCCAAACCACTGCTGTTATTGTTCTTTTGTTTATCGCTCTGTTTTTTGCGTATTATGCTATAGCAAAATTATTAAAAGTGTCAATTTTAAAGAAGTTCAAGTCTTGGAAAAGAAATTTTCTCAAAAAGATGTCTAAGAAGAATAAAAAAAATGAGCTGCAGGAAGATGTAGGATAGTATATTCCTCGAAAGCAAATTTTATGAAATTAAAAAAGTAATATATTAACTTAAATATATTGCATTATGGCTATCCTTAAAAGGTTTCTATTGTAATTTGTTGTTTTTTTTTTAACCATTTTGTAGACTTTTTTTAGTATTATTAAATAATGACATTTGCAGCAAAAAATTGTATTGCATATTTGCAAAAATTAGTTAATACATATATAAATGTTAAAATTTTTATTTTACTTTTGCAAATTTCTTTTTTTGATGTATGAACATATTTGCATTAAATATTACCTAAATGTATATATATTATATATATCTGTTTGAGTTAATCTTAAAATATACTATTGATTCTGATATTAATTGAAAATAAGGAATTATTTTTTATTTCCTTATATTTGAATGAACATAAACATCCCTATTATATCATCCCTTTAAGGATTGCATTAAATTATTAATTAATTAGATTATTTTAAATTTAATACATGAAAAGAGGAACTTTACATTTCAGTGTAAACTGATTAAAGTTACGTTTTTTTTTTCTTTTACCTATTTTTCCATTCCAAAGGTTTATTTATAAGCATTGGGATTAAGATTTGTAAGAAATGAGATCAAGAAGGATCATTTTATGCTTAATGGTCTGTTATGGATTGTTGTGCCATTTTTAAATTCGCTACAAGTCCATGCTTGGGCATATATATATGGTTATATATACATTATTCAGTTATGTTTTACCGCGGCTAGTGGATTTACCTAATTTACATTAACACCTAGGAAGGGAAAAAGGATTATGGACCCTTTCCTAATTTTGCGTCGTTAGGAATTAGGATTTCCCTCATTTTAAATATATGAAGAAGTACTGCCAACTAAACGTAATTTGAATGTTTGTAAAATTATGTCATTTCTCCATAACTGTAAAGTCACAATAGTGATAAAATCTGAAAACGCGTGCAGAATTTGCATAAAATAGAAGAAAGAGAAACGTTCCATCGCTGCAATTGGTGCGTATAAGTAGGGGGTGTAAATATACCCACGTGTACTACGTATATATTGGTTCGTCTATATATCCACCTTAACTTAGCACGCTTATGTTTCATTTGCTACGAATCATTTGTAGAAATATGATTAGGACCAAGACTAGGGCAGTGTTCTTAGGTCACCCTACAAACATATGGTTAATTTGTAATGACGAATGGACAAAATCGATGATGCGAAGAAAGTACCTAAATAAGGATGTAATATATTTATTTAATTCAATTTATCACTTTTTGTTTATTGGATTTTTCCATGAATGAATTTTATATTTTAAAAGGTAAAACCCAGTCATGAATGAATTCATGTTCCTATTTCATTTTTATTACAAGGTTGTAGTTACACACGTTGGTGCATAAACGAAGACTGCAAATTCGAAGAAAGGATGAACTTTTTAAATTGAAGGAAGGAAATCATACTGAAGTGGTGCTAATCTATTTTTTTGAAGGAAAACATTTGCAATTACTGAACTCTCTAAATCTTAAATTGTTAATAAAATCATACATGAATGAATATAGACGGGTGAAAAAGAGCCATTTTGTCCTTTTATGGTGTGAAAATTGTAGGCAAATATTTAACTAATGATGTGCATCATGTTCTTAATTATACGACTATCTAGTCAAACTTAGCTTAAAAGAAAAAAAAACGGTGTATGCTCTTTTTAAATTGAAAATTACAAGTTCATTTGTTAATTCGACAAGTTTATACCAATTATAATTTTACAAGGAAATTCATATATACATATAACGTCAGGCAGAAACTGTGTCAGAAAAAAAAAAAAAAAAAAAAAAAAAAAAAAAAAAGGGACCTAGACACTCCCACAAGGATATATATAATAAAACACGACTTAAAAATAAGAAAAAAGCAGAATTCACTCAGCAAGTAGATAAATTTACTGATAAAACTGCTTAAGACAGAAAATGCAAATGGGCAGTTACCTATATGTGTATATATATACATGTGTGAAATTATAATTTTACATAACGCTTATATTTTAAGGTAAAAAAAAAAAAAAACTCGTGTAAATATAAATCAGTTTTACACCTGTACTCTTCTATTGGACACCATAATTTGCAAGCGTATTGTATACATTGCTAAGCGGAATGATTTACAATAATAGTTTCTTTACCTATCATAGCACGTAGGGTATACTTATAGAGGCTTACATTATGGGGTGCTTTTTTTTTCCTTCTTTGAAAGAAACTACGATTCGATAAGATATTTTTAATTTATCCTTGTTAATCATTATGTTTTCCTTATATCACCAGAGATAGACTGGTAAACTCAATATTTCTATAAAAATAAAACGACTCAGAATGTTGGGACATTTCGTGATGACATTCACGCATGTGACACCTGTTAGATAAAAAAATCGTGGGTATGTAGGACTGTACATAGAAATAAACACTTCTTTGGTGTTTTATTTCGTGTCTGTAGGTGTGTTACTCCCTTTTGTGCTCTATTTCTATAGATTATTTTGAGTTGCACTTTTCATATGTTAAACGGATTATAATTTTATTGCTTTGGACATGTCCATATACATTGCTGAATAAACTTTTTTTATTGTCCCCTAAATTTTTCTTCCCGTGGAACTGTGCTTCACTTTTAATTAAATACGTTCTTCACTTTTTTTTGGATTTTTGATTCGATTTGGCCTTACTTTCCTTCTATTTTTTAGACCTTTTTACCTGTTTTTTTCCATTTCTTTTTTTTCTTCCTTTTCTTTTTCCTTTTTTTCTTCCTTTTCTTCTTTTTTTTCTTCTTTTTTTTCTTATTTTTTTTCTTCCTTTTTTTCTTCTTTTTTTTCTTTTTTTTTTTTGCAGATTTGTTTTCTCGTCTGTTTTTTATTCCTGCTGGGTTACTTTTGCATTGGTCTTATGATCTTTTATCTCCTCTTTGTTAATCTTTTTTTGGTTGATCTTCCTTTTGTTGATTCCTCCTTTTCTGATTCCTTTTCCGCTTGAGTTCTCCCGTTTACCCTCCAACTCGTCTGGTACGTCTTCAACGAATGGAATGTATTCTAGTCCATCCCCCTCTTGTTCAATGTATACTTCATACCTCCTAATTCCTGGAGTGTATACTACCCTAGGTTTGTATTGGGGGTGATCTACGTATATGCCTGGTGGATAATCTATAGGCGCCTGTTCTACATGTTCTACACGCTCTACGTATCTGCCTGGAGATGTTCCTCTTGTGGGATATGTTCCGTGTCCAGGTTCTATATGTTCTATGTATCTAACAGGGTATCTTCCTTTGGGCGGATATATTACCCTGTTTCCATCCTCTCTGTATTGCTTTACGACGGTAGGATAACCATCATTTGTTCTGCGAATTGAATCTCAGTAGTTACTTGATGGACCTGGCGATGTGCTTTCTACGGAATATACGAGACTTTGATCGCCTTCGTCCTCTTCATATTCTTCATCGTCTTCTTCTTTATCATTTCCATAGGGGAACCTTTTTCTTAATGCTAAAAGATATGGTCCACCACTTCCTGAAGAATTATCTACATTATACGAACACTTCTCTTTGAACCCGTATTGTGCTGCTTCATATTTTTCATCAGATTCTTTACTTCCATCTACTACATTTTCTTTCAATTTATAATGTTTTTTTTGGTAATTTTCTTGATATCCCTTTAATCCACCACGTTTAATTTCCTTTACTAGGCGCTTATGTACCATTGGCTTCCTCGTGACCCTCCTGCATAGTGCTAACGATCTTTAAAGAATTTTTGGATTCACAGAATTCTGAAAGTCCCATTTTGTTCTATCACTCCTTTTACTAAGTTTATTCTAAAAAAAAAAAGGGGGGGAAAACGTTCTATAAAGTTGAAGGAAAAAGGAAAAATAAAAATATAGAAAATAAGGAAGTTGTCCATGTTTATAATGGTGGAAAAGTGTGCAACCGAGCACAAATGTGTAAAAAATCTTGTGTAACGGATGCAGCGGAAAATGGAGTGGTGTCGTCTTATTTCCTTACGTAGTTAGAACAGTTTAATATCCAAATTAAGAGACAAAATAAAAGTGTTCTTAGAAAAAAGAGGAAAGTATTCATTTTCCCTCCTGTATATCTGCCAACAATGGCCATGTCTGTTCCTCCGAATGATTTATTTTTTTGTGTATATATACACGCCTATCAATTTTTTGCACAAAATAGAAGAGAATTATGTATTTATCGATGATCAATTTCTTTTTCGAAAACAAAACAGTGTAACAAAAATGGAACAATATGTCAAAATACCACAGGTGATTACAAGGGAAATTTTAAGAATTAAATTAGGAAAAAGTGAAAAGAAAAAGAAAAAAAGGAAAAATGCAAATTGAATTGTGCCATGGAAATGTGCAAAACGAATTTTACGCAGATAAAAGTAAATTTAATTGATTATTCACAAATTAACATTTAAGAGTTAAAATAAATGGAGAAACAGTGTGGGAATTTCAAAAAAGAAAAAATATATATATATATATATTTTGTGAAAAAGTAAAAATTTCTAATAAATTAACGCTTAATTTTTTTAACACTTTGTGTTTATATGTTTATTGACAGCATGAATACGTATGAAATGTGTGTATGCGTTTCTGTTTTAATTTTAACACTAAGGAGAGGAGAGCATTTCCCCTAACATAAAAGGTGAATTTATTCATGTTCTAGAAAGCACAATATCAGAATACACCTTTTAATTTTTACAATTATTCATATTGGATCGAAGTGTACTTGAAATAAGATTGAGCAATTTTTACATTTACTTGTATGTTATTGCTTTGTTTTTTCTTTTCATAACTGTCATTATTTACACTTTTCCCGTTGCTGGATAGTGAATAATTAAATGTGTTTACAAATTTATGAACAGTACACATTCCTACGGCGCTAACTTTAGTAATAGGACTAGGAATGGGTAAACGCATGAAATTCCCTAAAGACGCTCAATTTTCTTTTACCTTATTTTGTTTTAATTTATTGGATTCTCCCCTATTTAATTTTCCTCCCTTTGGTTTTTTTCTATTAGGTTTTCCCTTATTTTAAGACATATAAGAATGCTCAAATATAAATGGGAAATTTGAGGTGAGTTTCCAAAAAGGCCTAAAAATGTGCAAAGAAGGAAGAAGCGGAAATAGGGAATCTATATTTAAGAAGTAGAAAAAAGGAAAACAAAAAAATAACTCTAGAATTGATGACCATATATAATTCTTATCTATAAAAAGTGGTAATATATAAATAAAAAACGGTATTTAATTTTAATAATGAAAAGGTTCATAGTAGAAAAATATGATATCCAACGTTTTTGTGGCATCCGCATGGTTGACTTGTACTGTTCCGTTTATTTAGTCTTGTTCTTATGGCGCAAGATATGATCAAGGATTTATTAGTACCCACAATTAGCTCTATTTGACTAGGCCATAAAGAAGAAAGCACTACGTTGTAATTAAAGTGCCCTGTTCACAAATAGTCCTTTTATGTTCAAGCGTGTAATCCAAGTCAGTATTTAAAAATAAATTGTTCTGAAGACGTCTTTCTTTTTTTCTCCTTTTTAAGAAAAGGGGACCAAATCTTGGATTATTAGTTATGCAGAGAGAAAAATTCATTAGAAAAACAGAATTATGTTAAGAATGATATTTAGAAAAGAAAAAAAAGAAAAATTAATGTAGCGTTTAATTGTTTGCTTATTTACACACATTAGGCCTCTATGTACAGTAAATTTATTTCATGGCATATTATCCTATTCTTCCTCTTAAGGAGTTACCCCCCAATAGGAATTCTTGCTTAGCACATATAAAGCAGCAGACATATACATGAAAGCACCTATTTTATTACTAATTGCTAGAGATTACGAAGTGAATTCTATTATCATCTCGCTTTAAGTACAATTCGTTACAGTGTCATAGGAATTCCTTTCTTATTTAATTGGAATGCCCAAAAGAAAAGAAAAAAAAAAAGAGAGAGGAAAATATTTTCCTTTTTTTTATAAAATTTATGTTTCACGAAAAAGTAGATTTATCCCTGTATGAAATGTAAAGGCCGAATAACCATAATACCGTGCTTTTTTAAGAAAACATGTCTAATATTATAATACATGTGAATTTAATGTTTCTGTATGAATATGAATAAGAGGCTACCTCTAAAAGCTGTGAACATGAATCATAGGTTTCTGATGGTACATAAGAAGGGAGTTAATAGGGATTATTCTAGATTCCAGTCTTCGGAATTACTTTTTAGGCGTCTTCAAGTGTGAATTGATATGAAGAAGGGTAGTTTCTAATAAATTGTCGATTGAATAGGCGCCATCGAATTGTAAACTCTGAGCGTTCTATTCTTCGCTAGGTAGGTGAGAACGCTAGTAGAAGTGATAACGCACGTTTCGAAAAATACAACTGTGCCTTAAAGAATGAATGAAGCCTAATTATACGTCAATCTAGGTGTCAGATTATATATAGTGTCACTGCCATAATGAGTATTCTTAAAGATGACTACATTTGAAGTTGCGTTTTTAATATACTTAAAGTTTGTCCTACCAGCGGCAGCAGCAGCCATCGTAGTAGTGAATAATTGAAATGTGTTTACGGCGACCACTTTGGATAACTTGCACGGCGCTCCTTCGAACCCACTATGATAAAGGTGAACCGAACGTTTTAACACATAGAATAGTATAATATGCTGGATTATTATTTAAATTATAGTGAATGATATATTATACTGTATATTTTGTTATAATCATAAAATTTGTTATGAAGGAATTTCCTCGCCTTCTTTTCCTTTGTTCAAACAATTATGCAGAATTAAATTATGCATATGAACGTATGAAGACATTTTCGCATATTTTAACTTTCTGCTGAAAGCGTCAGTATATGTAAGATTTATACACAAAAATATATAGAAATTCAAATATTCCAAAGGAAAAGGGAAAGGGGGAAAATTACACAAAAAAAAAAAGATAAAAAAGAACAAAAACGAAACATGCCAAATAAAAATGAAAAAGGTCATTTAATCAAAAGGTGGCATGTGTACATAACATTTTGAAACAGCTGTTTCCATTCAAGGCTCTATCATTATATGGAAATATCACAATGCAGTTGTATTTTTCTTGTACGTTTTTCACTTCGGTAAAAATTAGGAGAAGCCTGTATCTTCTACCTTCATTTGATTGATATATTAAGAAATGTATCAATATGACTGGGTATCAAGATGTCCGTTTATAAATACGTTTGTCTATCCAGATGTTTGTCTACCAAAATGTGCGTCCACGAATCTGGGCGCCTACGAATATGTAGAATTACACTTTTCCTACTATTCCGTGATTCCTAACTGCCTTCATGTTTTATTACTTAAAATATCTATCAGAGCAAGCTGTTCTCTGTTGCTTAAATCGGGGGGGAACAGAATTACGAACTCAATTATTAGATTCCCCCTTTTTGATGGATTATTTAAAATAGGCATTCCTTCGTTGGGAATTGTTCTTCTAGAATTTGGCGTAACAAAATCATCTACACGTATGATTAGCTCTCTCTTATCTAAGGTTAAAAGCCCAAATTGGAAGCCACTTAACACTTGTTCTAAGGTTAATACACACCTAAAAATGAGATTATTGCCATCTCTGATATATATGTTATGGTCTTTCGTCGTTACTTTGAAAATTAAATTTCCCGGTTGTTGCCACGGAGATAGCTGATCTCCATCTCCATAGCATATAATTCTGGTTCCGTCATCTAATCCTGGTTTTATATCTATAGTTAGCAATTTGTGATCGTCATAGCAAATGGGTCCTTTATATCTTCTTCTGGTAATTTCTAGTTTCTTTTGGCATCCGTGGAATAAATCTTCTAATGTTACAAAAAGAGGCTCTTCGTATGACTTATGCGTGTTATGTATATTGGTGCCTGCAACGGAAAAGCGTGGCGGAAGGGTACAGAGATATGCATCTAATCTATGTATCTCATACAAATTGGAATGTTGTTCCTGATTACAAATACAAGGAAGAAATGTTACACTTAGCACAATAATCATTCGAAATGGTAGCTTTAATTTTTCTCTCCACTTCGTTTGTTCTTTTGCCTCATAGTTGAGTTTTATCGTAAGCGTGTATAATTTATATATATGCTGATGTTACATATATATTCGGATGTTATATATGTATGCTAATGTTAATTATGAGCTCATATATATGCGCACAGAAGACATCTCACTTGTTGTACTTCCTGGGGTGGAATAAGACCTCATCTTGGAGCTCATGTTATTAATAAAATTTGAAGCCTTTTGAAATCGTTCATTGAAGGCTGACTTAATTGAAAAGTTCTTAATTGGATCTATAATTTTTTTGAACATTTCAACCGTATCTATTTGCGAATCATAAGATGAGAATCTAGGAAATTCATATACATCTTCGTCGTATGGCTCTGGGGGAATTATACAGTTTCCCTTTAACGCTGCTATACCATGGGAATCATAAATTTTCCTTTTATTTTCATCTGATAAAACTTCATATGCTGCAACCACAATCTTGAATTTCTCTTCTGCAACTTTTTTATCCTCTGGATCTAGATGTCTATCTGGGTGCCATTTCATGGCTAACTTCTTATACGCCTTTTTTATTTCAACGTCTGTAGCATCTCTGTTTAGACCAAATATAGCATAGTAATCCTAATAAAAAGGCAGAGAAACGTGGCAAATGCATTGTGTATATATGACTGCTCTACCTGATGTGAAGCTGGATATTGCAACTATCCTTATATATAACAAAGACATTCACTTGCATAATGCTGCTAAGGTGTCACCGTGGATATCGGCATTGTGACGACATTCCCACAACGTTAAAATTATATTTTCTTGAATCTTTTTTATTAGAACCTCTAAATTTGCAAAAGGATCCTGCTCGGATGGTGATTCAGCAGGGCTATATTTTTCTGCTAGCCATCGGTTATCTCTGAGGTATAGTTTGTTTTGCAAACTGTGGTGGTCACTATTACCCCATCTTGTTTCAGGGTTCCGCTAAAAATTGTATAAATGTTATAAAATTATGCAATACAGTTGAGTATTTAAGTAAGAATGTAGCAACACGATATGCACATTGTTTACGATGAACCAGGGTAAACGTTAGTGTACATCCCCAAACTTTTTCAGGACGTTTTTGAGTATTTTCTCTTTGCTTCGTTACGCTGTCTTACCTGGTTAGAAGCCGTTATAATCCATATTAGCCAAGAAAACAAAAATAGTTTAACAGGAAAGGGGAAAGCATTTATTATTTCTGTCCTAAAGTGTTTCCTGGAGGTTGCCATTTATCCATATGTACCTTTCGTAAAGTCTTAAGTTCAGCTATAATGGTTTCCATAAAGGAAACTGTTACTCATCATCGGAATAACTTATCCTTAGCGGTTTCCTTTCATAATTGGAAAAAATATAACGCGAATCACGGATTTTTTAAAGTAATATAATATACGTATTTGGGAAAGTAACGATCGTAGTATATATAAACATATATAAATATATATTTATATACATATACGTAATACGTACAATGGAACAGTATAAAAACTGCACGGGGAATAGGCTCATGAGACATTGAGTAGTGGCTTAATTCCATAATTATGAAAATATATGACGTCAGTATATGTAAAATCTAACTAATGACAGATGGCATTAACTGAGTATTTACTAACCATAATAAATAACTTCTCATATTAATAGTTCATTTCATTTTTAAAAAAATCAAAAATAAAAAGAAATGTAAACATTTAATTTTTTTTTCGAAAAGTCACTAATTAGGAAGAAATTCTCATGAATTAAACGAAGTTTTATTTTAAAATAAAGAAAACTTACAAAAAATTTACAAGCGTTTATCACCTTATAATCATTATTGAAGAAAGGAATCAATATATTTTTGGTACATATAATTATATTGTTATAATTATCGCAGTATGGACACTGCTAATAAAAATTAAGAGAACAGAGCTAATATAAGAATCAAAGAGTAATTTAATAAATACATCAGTATATTATACACTGCCCGCATTTTGCTTTTATATAATATGCCAATATTACATAAGTTCGATATGTATTTATAAAAATAGCATAAAAAAAAATAAAATTCTAAACCAGGCGCGTTCTATATAGAATTTTCAGGTTGAGCACTGAGAGAAAAAGAAACATATTTTTTCGAAGTATAAGACGAATCCGATAAATAGATAAATTTTCAGGCAACAGAGATGAATATTTTTTTTTGTTATATTTTTAAAATAAAAAATGATAAAGCGGGTTTTTTTTTGTTTTATTTTTAACATTTATGTAATAGGATATCAATATATTTTGGCCCTCTTCTTTTTTTTTTTTTTTGTTTCTTAACAATTTTTAACGACAGTTTTAAAATTAAAACATTTTATTGTAGAAACGGCAATGTGGGTGTTCATTAAGCGTCATAGTTACAGAAGTTGCACAAAATACCACAAATGATGTGGCACGTTGCAAAAGCAAGAAATCCGTTCGGATAAATAAAAAGAAAGATGGACGATAATACTGAAGAAAATTACTCTTTAGAACAGACGAAACAAATAGAAAAGAAAAAAGAATAAAATGAAAATAGAAAAAAAAAAAGGACAATATGAAATAGGGAGAAATTTATAAATAAAGAATAATTTCTTAATACTTCGGTTTTTACGTATTATAATATAGTTACCTTCTTGCGGTTAGCAACCACAGTCCTCTTTGGAATGTAGGAAATGTTTCTACTATATAATATGACTGCTAAATGGGAGAGAATTCATATTAAGAATAGCACGTCCTGTCCCGTGTTTAGGAATCTATAGTAAATACTCTTTTAGATGTTTAGAGTTTTAGGGTTCAGGATTTAGTCCTCTATTATACGCAGAGCACTATAGTTTAAAATTCATACAGGTCCTTGGAGTATTATTATACTAACAGCAATGTAACTTCTGGAGCCGTATGATTTGAAGAGCACCGTTTCATCGGTTGTACGGGAGTTCCTGAAGTATTATTGTGTGAAAATTACTTATCAGCTTCGTTTGTTCATTTTTATGGAATACCATTATTTGAATCGTGCGGGTATGCATGAATTATTGATATGTAAGAAGGAGCATTGTAGAGTGAGTACTAATCTGCTCGAAGTACTATGATTTAAAGAGTACTGACATGCATGGGGTACCGTTATTTCTAGCGTCCGCTCATCACAGGAACACTATTATATGAAACACCCTATTGTATGAAATTCGCAGATGTACCTGGTGTATTATTATATGAAGTGCACAATTCCATAAACTGCGTAAACATGTCTAAAGTGCTGATGGTGGTGAAAACTGCAACTGTACCAAGAGTATTATATATAGGTTCAGGGATTACATTGCTATTGTACAAAGAATCGAATCGTTGGAGCGTTAGAGGCCACCCGGAGTACATTTATTTGAACAGCATTGATATACCTGCAGTGATACAATGTAGGAGGGGCGGGTATATACGGAGTACCATTCTGTGAAGTGCCCGGATATTGGGAATGCGATACTATATAAAATGTACGGATGTCCTGGGGGACTCTTATTTGAAGAGTTCCCCTCACTGGTAATTACAATTGTGTGAAGAGTACGGATGACTTTCTGGACCTTTGTATTAAACCTACAAGAGGCCGGCGGGACTATTCTGTGAAGCATACGGATATGGCTGGGGTAGTATTTTATATGCAGTAGTACTATAGTAGCATCGAAACTGTGTTGAAATGTACACATGTGCCTAGAGTACTATTCTTTTTAGGGTACTAGTATCCTAAGAGTACCAGAATTTCAGGACAGGACTTACCCCTCGAGTACTATAATTTGAACAGTACTAAGGTACCTGGGATACCCTACACCCAGGCTATGATTCTCAGGGCGGAGCAACCTAAATGCCAAGTGAAGGCTAAGAGAATGTTCACTCCCCATTGGGACACCATCCAAAATGAGGAATTGGAAATGGAGCGTTTATATGAAGTGTAATGCGAGTGATCCTTTCGAGAATAAAATTGCGCACTTGCGTTTTTGTGACAACATTCGCTTCATTTATTGGCGCAGCTACTGCTCTTGTTTTGTTTTGCGTTAATATTTCTTCTTTAATGAGCCGTTTGCAATGCGATGCTGGTTCGACGGCAGATAAATAAGATAATGAATGAATTGATCAATAAACTAATGAATAAAATAATGCATAAATTAATGAATAAATGTTTCATTAGGTCCCGAGAGGAAGGCGTGTGCGGTGGCGGAATGATAAGGGGATGATTTATTTTGCCGTATAAATTGCACTGAGACTTTTTCCACATGAATTAACATCTTACACAAAGGGAGTAATTGATTTTACGCTTCTTCATATTCTGGAGGAATTGAAAGAGATTATAAATGTATTAGTCCGTTGCTTCTTTACGCGGTTTCATCTTGGTCATTAGTAGGAGTCAGGAAAAATGTGTCGCAAAACGGCGACAAGGGAAGGAGAAATATAGGATGTTTGTGTTTTTTTTTCTCTTTCCATTTTAATTTTTTTTTTTTATTTTTCCTACAAATGAATCTTATGGAAGGTAGAGCTTTCAAAAATAATCCCTCAATTGGCACTAGAAAAATTTCAGCTTCACAATTTTTCCCAAGGTATTTTGCAGATGGATCCGATGGGAAAATGACGATGTTACATGCGCGCAGTCTAAGGAGGCAGGAAAAACGGAAAAAATAGTTTTTACAGGGAATCCATGATATATATCCCTTGGTACTTGGGTGCGATCCGAAACAAAAAGTAAATAAGGAGAATTTTGGAACATGTCACACCACAATGATTTATTACTCCCTTTTGTGAGTCTTATCGAATTATTCTTTTAACGTGGGAATCGTATTCTTTTTTTTGTTTTTCGAAAAGTAATTTTTATTTTGAGAGGAAATTTTTTTTTTAAGAGGATGTTTTTTTTTAAGTAGTTTTTTTTTGTTTCCACAAGAAAGGTGGATGTAGGTTGCGATGGTGCGGATGCCTCATGAACAAATAGAGAAGAATATATTTGTGACTAATCCTGTAGGAATGATTTATTTTAATTTGAAATCCTAATACGAGTTTATGAAGAACCGCGGTTATAGTATATAAGCGTTTGTGGCAGGGGGACGGAGTATGCACAAATTAGAAGTATTCAAGATATCTGTAATATACAACGAGCGAATATGTACCATGAATATAATAGATTTGCGCGAAGGAAAGAAAAAGAGACACACGAAGAGTTCCTTTGTCGCCGTACCTGACAGGACTGTTACCATTTGAGACAAATCAGGGCAGTAGCATTTGAAGTAGTGATTTCTCCCATAGGTAAATATTTATTGATAGGTTAATTCACATAATTTTTTATTTTGTTTTGTGCATTATTTGTCCATAGTTTTGGCAATATTCACACAACCTTCTGGGGAGGAAGTTTGTCGAAATTTTTTCTGCATTTCACGTTTACAGCAGAAGACTGGTGGTGCATATTCCACCAGATAAAATTTCGTAAGAATTTGATTCAGAGCTGTGGGCATAATTTGCAGAAAACCCAAGTAGCAGCTACACACACTGGCAAGTTTACT